ATGTGGTGCTGGGGGATTGAACCGCGGTCCCTGATGCCTTGCCAAGCTTGTTCTAAGTAGGTGCTTTAGACCACTGAGCCATCTCTCCAGCCCCGCAAAGCTTATTTTTGAAGTAGACTTGTTTGTGTTTACATTGTAATTCACATAGGTCTTTATTTTTTATGTTATCTTTTAGGTTCTGTAAGTAAACAGCTGATATGAAAATGCTGGTGTCTACTCCAAACATTCATTACATAGTCGATATCTTATTTTACTGACATCTTATTTCCCTGCTAAAGTGCATGTTGTACAATATAGTAGGAAGCTCCTGACAAAACAAAGAGAAGTGACAAAACTGGCACATAGGAAAGAAAAGCTAAGCACACGTGCCGTTTTGTGAGACGTGCACTGAACACGTAGTTGTCAAATGTGAAGACTGCGTTGGCGTGATAATTGAAGCAAAGCTTATTTTTGTGGTAGAGTGCTATTAGTATTTTCATTTCATATAAGACTTTATTTCTGATGTTATCTCTTAGGTTTTGTAAGGAAGTACACAACTGATGTGAAAATCCTGATGTTTACTCTATATGCACAGTACATATTAAGAATTTAATAACTTATTTTATGTTTCTGTTAATTATACACTATATAACATAGTGAGAACTTTCTGACAAAACAGCAAGACCATTGAGATATACAGTATGTCCTACAAAAAGGCGAGACAAGCAAAACACATGTGCTGTTACTGTGATATGTATGGAAACATGCTGTTGTCATGTATGCAGACTGCCGTAGCTATGATAAATGAAGAAAATATTATTTTTCATAGAGTGCTGCTGGTATTTTCATTTCAGTTCATATAAAAATTTATTTCCAGTGTTCTTTGTAGACTTTATACACAAGAAAAGCTGTCAATGTTGAAAATTTAGATGCTTTTTTCTAAATACTCAATATTAAAAACTCAATATTTTTGTGTTATTCTTTCTTAAGTGCTCATTGTTTAATATGACTCATAAAATTAAAATTCATAATCAACAGAAATATTTTAAAGAATAAACATTGGTCAGACAGACACACATTTATGCATCTTGATGACAGAATGTCTTACACTCCAAGGGCTACACAAGATGTAACCCTAAACTTTCAGCTCACCAAAGGCAAACCCTGGGGGCAGTGAGGTGGAACAATTCCAAAGTCACCCACCTGGACTTTAAAGGGCTAACAGCAGAAGTAACATAGCAGATCATTGAGGCTCCAGAAAAAAATCAAATCAGAAATAATTTTTCAGGGGCCGGGGAGATGGCTCAGTAGAATAAGCACTTGACTGGCAAATGCAAGGATCTGAGTTCAATCCCTGGTTCCGCAAAAAAAAAAATAATAATAATAATAATAATTTTTCAGGGACTGGGTGTGGTGGTGCACACCTGTAATCCTAGCACTAGAGAGGCTGAGTCAGGAGTACTGCCCAAGTTCAAGACCAGCCTGGGCTACGTATTGAGTTTAAAGTCAGCCAAAACTATACAGTCAAATCGTGTCTCAAGAAAAAGAAAAAAGTTCTCAGATAATAATAAAGATGGTGACCATAATAAAAGCCATGCTTAGTGACTCTAGAGCAGATTCACATTAAAAAAAAAAAAAAAAAAAAAAAAAAGGGGGCTGGTGAGATGGCTCAGTGGTCTAAAGCACCTACTTAGAACAAGCTTAGCAAAGCACAAGGACCGCGGTTCAATCCCCCAGCACCACATGCCAGCCGCCCCGCCCCCTGGTGGGCTGAGCTGGCCACACACACACACACAAATAAATAAATAAATAAATAAATGTATGGTTTTAAAAAAAAAAAAAAGAGAGAGAGAGAGAGAGAGATTAAGAAAATTATGGAAACCTTGAACACCCAATATAGGAAAGAAATGGAATTCATGAAACAGATTCAAATAAGATAACTGGCAGATTAAAAATTCCATTGAAGGGGCCAGCGAGATGGCTCAGTGGAATAAGCGCTTCCCTGGCAAGCGCAAGGGCCTGAGTTCAATCCCCAGCTCCGCCAAAAAAAAAAAAAATTCCATTGAAAGTAGACACAGAATGAGCCAATATGAGGATAGAATATCAAATATGTAAGACAGGATTTCAGTAATCACAAAAAGAAAGATTTCTAAAACAATAGCAAGAGACCATGAAAGTTCAGTCCAACAGCAGTTAAACAATGCAAAGGATAACATAGATTAAGCAAGGGCTGGCCAAAAAGCTCAGTGGATTAAAGCACCTTGCAAGCAGGTGCAGGGACCAGGGGTTTGATCCCTGGGCCTGCTGTGCCAGCCCGCCCCAGGGACACACTGAGACAGCACACATCTGTAATCCCAGCACTGGGGAGGCTGTAAACAGGAGAATCACTTGAGTCCAATCTAGTAGTGAGACCCTGAACACCCTGTAGACCCTTCCCTAAAATACAGGAAAAAAAAAACCAAAACACAAATTGAGCCAAGTCAATGCCAGGGAGATAGCTTGGTGGTCTAAGTTGCCTGTCTGACAAACCCAGGTTTGATCCCCTCACTGAGCTGGCCACCAAAACCAGGCATGGTGGAGCACGCCTGTAATCCCAGCACTGGGAAAGCTGAGACTGGAGGATCACTATGAGTCCAAGCTGCATAGTGAGACCTGGTACCAAATAAATAAATAAATAAATCTTTAACTAATTCCCAGAACTAATGACAGAAAAATCTTCCAAACAGTGAAAAAGAATTTGATATACAGCAAATGAGACATACAGAACTCTGAGACATACAGATCAAAAAAGTCTACACCAAGGCATTTCCAGAAATTCAACACAAGAACAGAATATTAAAAACTGTTAGAGAAAAGAAATTATGTATAAAGGAAAATCCATCAGAATCACAACACACCTCTCAACATAAACCCTCGACCAAAGACCAAGAGTTTGAAGTATTTTAAGCCCTAAAAGAAAACAACCTCCAATTCACAAAACTATCTTTCAATGGAGAAATAAGATACTTCCATGACAAAGAACACTTGTAGAAATTCACGACCACCAAAGTAGTACTCCAAAAGGATCTGACAGACTACAAAGGGAAAACAAGGACTAGAATTCCATGAAGCCCAACAGAATGTATCCACCAGGTGAGGCAAATAATTAAGAGAGGAAAAGCTCTTCCTGTAAGCGGCCTTAGGTGACCTGTGAAAATGGTTCGCTACTCTCTTGACCCAGAAAACCCCACAAAATCATGCAAATCAAGAGGCTCAAATCTTCGTGTTCACTTTAAGAACACGCGTGAAACTGCCCAGGCCATCAAGGGTATGCATATCCGAAAGGCCACCAAGTATCTCAAGGATGTCACATTAAAGAAGCAATGTGTACCATTCCAGCATTACAATGGTGGAGTTGGTAGGTGTGCCCAGGCCAAACAGTGGGGCTGGACACAGGGTCGGTGGCCCAAAAAGAGTGCTGAATTTTTGCTGCACATGCTTAAAAATGTAGAGAGTAATGCTGAACTTAAGGGTTTAGATGTAGATTCTCTGGTTATTGAACATATCCAGGTGAACAAAGCACCCAAGATGCGCCGCCGTACTTACAGAGCTCATGGCCGGATTAATCCATACATGAGTTCCCCCTGCCATATTGAGATGATCCTTACTGAAAAGGAACAAATTGTTCCCAAACCAGAAGAGGAAGTTGCATAGAAGAAAAAGATATCCCAGAAGAAACTGAAGAAACAAAAATTTATGGCACGGGAATAAATTAAGCATAAAATAAATGCAAATAAAATTTAAAAAAAAAAGAGAGAGGAATAAAGGGGGAAACCAATGGAAGGAAAATAACTGATACATATTGACAAGGATAAGTCAATACATATCAGTTATAACTATCAATGTAAATGGTCTCAATTAACCAATCAAAAGAAACAGAGCAGAAGAATGGATCAGGACACAATATCCAAAAATATGCTGCATATAAGAAACACATCTAGGGCTGGTGAGATGGCTCAGAGGTCTAAAGCACCTACTTGGAACAAGCTTAGCAAAGCACAGGGACCGCGGTTCAATCCCCCAGCACCACATGCCAGCCAGCCGCGCCCCCTGGTGGGTTGAGCTGGCCACACACACACACATAAATAAAAAAATTAAAAATAAAAAAATAAAATAAAAAAAAGAAACACATCTAGTTCCAAAAAAATTAACAGACTAAAAGCCCTATGAGAAATCCCAAGTATAAATTACTTAAAAAACAAAATAAATCACAATATGAAATAGAGACAAAGACCTCTTGCAGATGAGAAAGAACAGCTATGGGTGGAGGGAGAGGAAAAGGAGGAAAGGGGAAAGGAAAGGAAAAAAGACTATGGTGCGCTAAGTACATATGTTAACTTCCACAACGTATTCATTATGTATCACAAATATATACTAATAAAATATATAAAGCTGAACAGAAAAATATCTAGAAATTAGTTATGTATTTGCTTAACCAAGAATATTTCCAATCTTCTAAAAGAAAATCCTACATCACTATATACAATGGACATTTTATGATAATGATCATTACAACCTGAACAATTTAACCTCTAAAATCAGGATAAGTACCCAAAATAAGGCCACTGCAAAGAGCAAACAGACAAAACACTTACCGATGATAGGCTTCTCGCCGATACTTTTTTAGGGCATGCTTATCCATATTTGCAGGCATATCTGCTGCATTCTGTAACCGGTCACTCCAGGAGGTGGTCATTTTAATTGTATGCAAAATTCTAGAAAAAAAACCCAGTAATTTAGTAGTTTAAGATTGGCATCAGTGTACTGATATGATTGTTTTGAAATTAGAAAATAGCTTGTCAAAAATCTAATAAATATAATTAATAATTACCAAAACACACTAAGTACTAGGGGCTTTTGGGGGATTTTTTGCACTGTAAATCTAAGTCAGGACCTTGGGCTTTGCTAGGCAGGCACGGTGTCACTGAACTATTTCCCCAGCTCTAAGTATCATGTTAAATACTGAAAAATATACTGCTAAACTATGTGAATTAAAAAATTATGTGACTTTAGGAAAATTCCATATGATAAATTTTATGCACACAGATCATACACTATATTTCCAAATTATTAAGCAAGGCTGCCAGTAATGATTAATTTTAATCCCATGTTCTAAAAAAAGGACTGAGGGGGCCTGCCCCTTAGCTCAGTTCTTTAAGTGGCTGCTTCAACAAAGCAGTCAGGCTCATGTTGCTGTGGTTCGATCCCCCCAGCTCAAGCCAGCCAAACCTGCCCTGAAGGTATTCGGAGCAAAACTAAAATAAATAAAAAATTAAAAAAGGACTGAGATCATGTAATTCTAAATTAATATATGTTATAGAAATGGACAAAGAAGGGGCCAGGGAGATGACTCAGTAGAGTAAGTGCTTGCCTGACAAATGCAAGGGCCTGAGTTCAATCCCTGGTTCTGGAAAAAAAAAAAAAAAGACAAAGTGAGCAAACTGTTGTCTTTTTGAGACATAGGGTTCCACTATGAAGTTCAGGTTTGCCTAGAACTCACTCTGCAGGCCAGGCTTGAAAACCCAATGATTCTCCTGCCTCAGTCTCCTGAGTGGTGAGATTACAGGCATGAACTACCATGCCTGGCCTAAACTGGGTATTTAAAAAAAAAAAAAAAGTGAACATGAAGATATACTACTATACAAAATAAGACAGAAAAAGACAAATATTAGCAACATATCAAGTTGGTGTGATGGCACACACCTGTAATCTTAGCACTCAGAAGGCTGAGGCAGGAGAATCACTGGCAAAGTTCAAGGCCAGCCTGGGCTACACAGTGAGCTTAAGGCCAGCCTGAACCACAGAGCAAAACCTTGAATTAAAACACACACACACGGGATGGGGAGATAGCTCAGTAGAATAAGCACCTGCCTGGCAAGTGCAAGGGCCTGAGTTCAATCCTTGGTTCCGCCAACACACACACACACACACATACACACACATATCAGTGAGTTGTACAACGTGTCAATGGAGTCCATAAACGGGAAAAAAGGATTTAAAAGTACACAAAATTATAATCAAATTCATTTTTAAAAAAGTGATAAAGGGGCTGGTGAGATGGCTCAGTGGTCTAAAGCACCTACTTGGAACAAGCTTGGCAAAGCACAGGGACCGCGGTTCGATCCCCCAGCACCACAT